AAAGAAACTATGTAAATTTGTTAACATTATGATGAAAATTGTAAAAACTCCCGGTTAACCCCTGTCCACCGCAATGTAAAATACTGGTTTTACCTCAAATGTCGATGCACTAGACCTGAGAGAAATAAAGTGCTGTTCTGACAACGTTATCAAGCTCGTTGTGTGAATAATCTTGTAATTCGCATCAATCGAACGTCCAGACATACATTGTACATTTCCTCGAACAATACTTCTTAAAAAAATAATATAAAACGTAATACATCTTCCGCCTCACAGTTTTGAAAATGAAAAGGATAAATTCCAATAAATAATTAAGTATGCCTTAGAAAAATATCTTATTTCTTTTTACAATACACTATTTCAAACTCATTTGAACTATATCTCACCATCAGCAGACACAATGTAAACCTGACGTTATACACATACATGTAAGTATGGTGTTGAAAGGAGCCCTGTAGATTGTGTGATCACCGTTTCATCCTGTTCGATACAGTACTGACAGCATTAGCACCTGTACCTGCCATGTGTGATATGAGAGACAATAAGTACTGTAACTCCGAACAATAGTCATGTAATACATACGACTGATTTGTGAGATAATTCAGTCAAACATGTTGTTCTCCCAGCTGGCTAATGTACCAGAACATAGAGCAGGAAGATCAGGTATTGTGTAACTAATGTACCACAGCATTTCACGGAAGATCTAGTATCATGTTGCTAATGTTCTGGTGTAACGGGCTTGAATCAAATAGATAAGCTGCTTGGATTGTGTGAGAGTTGTGTGTTCCTACTACTCAGGTGGATATTGTTAGTACTTTGTTTACATTATTGCACACGTACAAGGTGAATAGTGTTTTTTAATAAGTGGCTATGATGATATAGGTAAGTGCTATTATTGACTCTTTAGTCGATGCAAAGCTTTATTATTTTTTTTTGATGTGATCTTTGTATGCCGGTTGCTATGGATATATAGGAACCATTCAATTATTCAATTATGTTATGACGTCGGGTTTTACTGAATTTATGCTTTCCGGTTCATCAGATCGGTTCATTTCAACAGTAGTCACAGAAGACGAGGGTGCCGTTGTACAAAACAGCCTTAGCGCTGCGACTGTTATAAGTGTATGTTAAGGTATGGGAGTTACGATCACCTTACCGCTAAGATCGCTTTGTACAACGGCACCTGCAGATCTCACGCTACCCGTGAAGATCCGGGGTAGAAAAGGTCTTCAGCAACCAATGCTTGCTGTAAAAGGAGACTATGCTTGTCGTAAGAGGCAACAAGATATGCAACAAACAAACAAACAGAGGTCATGCATCTTGAAACATCATAAACACGCCAAGCTAATTTTGATCGATGGGGATGTGACGGGTCGATCCATGACTTCAACCAAAGCATCACATGATCATGAGTCTGTGAAATAACGATAAGCAGACATTTGAGTTGCGCGGTCGTTAAGACATTAAGTAACCTGTGAAAATGTGCTATTTTCTGGACAGCATGCTCAGCATCATCCTGTCGTTTGCGCATGTGTTGTAAAACAAGCTGTTGCATGGAGCATGCAGTTTTACACATAACACACATCATGCAGTATCATGCATACAATGCTGCACAGGTGACGCGGACCGCCTACTGCCCGGGGAGCTGATGATCGTGGGTTCGATCTGCCGCCGCCTCATGCCATAGACGTTAAAAGATGGTACTTGTTGTTACCCTGCATTAGGGGACTAAAACAAGGACTGGTCGGCTGGGAGTCAGTATACTGTGTCTGGGTGTGGTATTCGTGGTATCTCAGTGGGCTGGCACTATACAATTAGTCAGGACCAGTACAAACAGCCACACGTTGCTATATAAGTGCAATAATCTTGATAGCGACGTTAAACTCCACCCCCCTCATATCACCTCACAGATGAGGCAGTATCATATATAACACATTGTTATACAGATCATGGATGCAGCGTCACGTACAACATACTTAAACATATCATGCAGCGTCACCTACAAAATATTTACACAGATCATGCAGCGTCAAATACAACATACTTACACAGATCATGCAGCGTCAAATACAACATACTTACACAAATCATGCAGCGTCAAATACAAAATATTTACAAAGATCATGCAGCGTCAAATACAACATACTTACACATATCATGCAGCGTCACATACAACATACTTACACAGATCATGCAGCGTCACATACAACATACTTACACAGATCATGCAGCGTCACATACAACATACTTACACAGATCATGCAGCGTCACATACAAAATATTTACAAAGATCATGCAGCGTCAAATACAACATACTTACACATATCATGCAGCGTCACATACAACATACTTACACAGATCATGCAGCGTCACATACAACATACTTACACAGATCATGCAGCGTCACATACAACATACTTACACAGATCATGCAGCGTCACATACAAAATATTTACAAAGATCATGCAGCGTCAAATACAACATACTTACACAAATCATGCAGCGTCACATACAAAATATTTACACAGATCATGCAGCGTCCACATACAACATACTTACATAGATCATGAAGCGTCATGTATAACATACTTACACAGATCATGCAGTGTGACATACAAAATATTTACACATATCATGCAGCGTCCGCATAAAACATACTTACACAGATCATGCAGCGTCACCTATAACATACTTACACAGACCATGCAGCGTCCACATACAACATACTTTCACAGATCATGCAGTGTCAAATACAAAATACTTACACAGTTCATGCAGCGTCAAATACAACATACTTACACAGATAATGCAGCGTCACATATAACATACTTATACAGACCATGCAGCGTCACGTATAACATTCACAAATCCTGCAGCGTCAGATATAACATACTTACACATATCATGCAGCGTCACGTATAACATACACGGATAATGCAGCGTCACATACAAAATACTTACACAGATCATGCAGTTTCACATAATACGCGCGGATCAAACAGCGTCACATACAACATAACTGCACATATCATGCAGCGTCATGTATAACATCCTTACACAGATCATGCAGTGCGACATAACACGCAGGGATCATGCAGCGTCACATACAACATACTTACACAGATCATGCAGCGTCACATACAACATACTTACACAGATCATGCAGTGTGACATAACACGCACGGATCATGCAGCGTCACATATATCTCAGCACAATAAAGCGTCGTCAGAAACAGAATCGATAAAAAAAAGTGATGATATTTGTTTTGTATGATTAAGATGTGAAAATGTGTTGTCTGGAAATCGTTCACGAAAACACAATGTTACACAAAACATCACACATAATACAGTATCATGATAAGACAGGAAAATATCCTCCCTGCCTTTGCGTGTGTTTGTGACGGATGCCACAGGTGGGAGAATGCGTTCACCTTTTCGCGAACACCTGGTGTCATCTTTTAGCAAACATTTCCAGTCTTATGGAAATATTTCGTCGCTTTATTTATCTAGAGAACAAACACATCTATCAGGCCGACTTTATAGAAAATAAAACGCTTGCAAGAACTGGTTCCTGTTTTGGAAGCGATAGCAGATGGATGCGCACTTATATACGTCAAACACATCAGCAAGGATGCATTTGAGAGGCCCACTCTTAGTGCATATTTGTATACCGCATTGCCCTTCAGAAACAAAAGTTCATTAAAACATCCTTGTTACTTGAAAGTTATTTGCGTGTCATGTTGATATGATTTCCATTATAGAAAGTGACATTACATGACACAGCATGTCATGCTGTAACCCATTATCGTATAACCATACCCGTCGTAACTCATATTCAGCAAACTATGGCGGAACAACACCACATGTAATAATACAAGCCAGTAATAATACAGAAAGTTTGTATCAGTTTGCAGCTACGGATGCTGACTCGGGGTCGTGACGTTGCTTCTTCATTACGATGTTGATTGCTTGTAGTAATAAATATACACTGGCGAGTAATCAGCCCAAGTAAGTTACTATCAATAGTAATGATCTCAATTACAGAGGAGGACAGACAAGCAGTGATCATACATTGTGCAGCATTGCCTTTGATCAGGAGAAGCGTTTCGCAAATGACGACATGCAACCATTTGGGATGTTTATAACTTTCTCAAGACAAAGATAATGGGTTCCTGTTAATATGATTTAACAGATTCCATAAAACATGGAATCTCATAGCTTAGTGCTCTATGAGTGTCGGTTGACATACACTGATGAACGTTCGATGGTACGTGAATACTTGTTTATTACAAACGAATGAGTTCGTATATTTTAGGTACGGTAGTTCAGTTTCAAAACAGTGACTAATTTTGTTCTTCATTTTGTTTGGTTTAAAGCCGTCCCGTTTTAATTCTTTTTCGTTTCAGGATTAAGTAAGCAAAAGGGAAATCCTGTTTTAATAAAATAATAAAACAGGACATCACTGTAAAGCCAGCGATCAATCTTTAATTATTAATAAAACACACAGCTGAGAAAGAAAATGATATATATTTAATTCGATTTAATTTACATATCGATACATACCCATGCTCATTGTTATTGTCACTCCTATACTAAACGCATATATCTAGGGCGCAATAATTGTGAGAATAGGTATATATGAAAATATAAACATGTTTTCTCAAACACTCGTGTATAGTATGGGATCAATACAGGCTCCCAGGATAAGTAAATGTAATGTTGTATATCTTATAGATAAGGCGTGCATGCTACTTCGCATGAAGATTTGATATCGCCAGAATGAACAGTCTAGCAGTTAGGATCCAATTAAAATGCATAGTTAAAGGGATTTGTGACTTATACTACATAGGCTCCATACACCTTAAAATAATTAATGTAGCCTGCCCTTGGTTCCCCTAGATTTGTCCTGTAGACTTTCTCGTTACCGCGTTATATAGTCGATGAATATGGCAAACCCACGCTCCTCTCTACCTGTCTGGATAGATACTACAAGCTCTCACCTTAAAAAGTCGTAGTATATTTGCAACCATGATGGACACAGGACTCGAGGCGGCGCCGATTACACCTGCAACTGGATGCAAAGGGCGAATTTTGGGGGACCTTCCGTCGGCACACTTATAATCCTCCTGGTCTATTGTAGATAACTGCGCTTTTATAAAATCCATACACTGTTCCAAAGCATAGGTGTCAAAACTACACGTGTCGAGAATATGCAGACCAATATCTAAACCAGGTAGAAGTTCATCATCGTTATTTATTCTGTCTATAGCATACAGCATGGCTTCCAGCCTCTGGATTCCCTTCTCTTTCTTGAGACTACCACAACTCTGCCCTTGTTGCCCCTTCTCATGCATTGGGAACAACCCGCCAAAAATTACATCTCCTTCAGTTATTATTTTCCGTGTCTCTTCTTCAATAATGACTCCGGTGCCGTGAGACGGCCAGAACATTGTCAAACAAATGAGAAAAACACTTAGAAATCCCGAGTTCCACGGAGGACCAAGTAGTAACAGCTTCATGCCTTTTGTGTGAATGTCCTGCTTTCTGTCCCTAAAGCAGTGTCCCCTTTACGGTGCAGGTGTATAGGAAGGCAAGGTGCCCATGGTGGACTCAACGTGCGTGCTTGGAAGAGATGTGACTCCCTCCAGTATGAGAGTGTCGCGAGCTTCTCTGGCCTGCTCTCATAGATCAATACAACGCACGCCGTTAGGCGAGAAAAGTTTCGCCCGAGCTTGTCGTAGCAGATGCTTCATGCCTGGAAGCAGCCCACGTAGCGGTTCGTTGTGAATCTCTTGGGTGAAATACAACTTAACCATAATCCTAATTTGTTTAACAAAACAGCTGAGTGAATTACTGGCATGACAAACTAATAACCAACCATAACGTCTGCAGTGAGTTATGACATCAGCTGACGGGATGATAAATACGTGTATCAGCCAGTGGGAAACAGCTCTATTCAAGTCAGTATTTCAAAAGGATGTATTGCTATTTATGTGTTATCACAAAACTGGTGCATCCGTTCTATTCTTCAAGAAGAATTCATTTCCTTCATGTGCGTGGGTATGGTTTAAACATGTTACACTTATAAATATAAACAAAAAATATAATATAAATGTTGTACTATGTCCCTGTATTTAATTAGGCTAACGTAGTTTTACTTTATCGAGAACGTCATATGTTGTGGCAAGTTGTGAAGTCCACGGAACAGTTCACTGGATACAGTGAAACTCCATCAATCTGGAAACCCTGCCTTTCGCCATCCGTAGTATTGAATCGCTATTCCGTAAACTTGTTAATCCTTAAAAGTTCACCGTGGACAGTAGTGTCTGGATTAACAAGTTTTCACTTTACATATGTAGGACTGTAATATAATATGATCTGTTTTGTTAGCGTGGACATTTGTAAAGTTTATGCGTCAAACGCAAGAATGAAGATACCAATTCATTGGGAGTATTCCTGAAGAATTGTTCCTGTGACCCACATCACTTTGGGCTTTTCTCCCAATTACTTACTAATAGATAACCGAAATACCGTTCAAAGCGATGTTAAACTCACTCACACACTGAGCCAATGATAAGATAATAGCGTGAAATATATTAGATATAGTGTGACTGCGCATAGTTCCAGCTTAACCTTATGATCCCGACTCGTGATAACTATATCTATTCAGATGTATTAAGCTTCTACTACCTGTTATGTACATACTAATAGTATGCTTTATCTACATTTTAGTTAAACCATCCACCGTTTAGTCAATTCAATGTGTTTATATTTTGAAATATATAGATTTTCTTTACCTACATTCTCACACATTTATGTCCAATCAAAAGTCTTTGAGTCAGTGACAGGGAGATAGAGACGTGCTCACACACGTGACTACTTTGTCTTGTATGAATGGTATTATCAATCAGGAAGGACATTCTTACTTCACGGCTTCTTATAATGGCTTTTTAGACAGCACTTATGCTGTCTTTTAAAAACAGTTCTCCAAATGAGGGCAGGTTATAAGGGAACCACGTTGCACAAAACCTTATCCAGTAATCACCAGGCTTTGAAACGCAAAGAAGATTGTTTGACTTCCCATACGTATATGCTAGGTAAGAATGTGTTAACTGAAAATCCCGCTCTTCTCACACAGAGCGTGTTAAGTCAATCTACCACAAACCGTGCTCACTCGACATGCGATACTTTGTACATGATTTCCATTGATAAAAATTATGTTAAACATTTTTTTTTTAATGTTCTTAAAGTCTTAAAGAAACATGTAATGCATTCGTTCCCCAAAGAGTTAACTGAGTTCAGGAACTAATTGTTTCTGTCCCATGGGTCGCCGTTTAAGAAATGCTTGTGCAAATAAACCTTTGTTCAGTGATCACACAATAACATGAGCGTAAACTATTTAAAACAATGCCGGTGTGACTAGCGTGTGTAAAGGGAAGATGTCACCTGCCGATGCCTCGATGCTCTTGTAGGTACATGCAGCCAGAGCAGAATAGGGGGTGGGGGAGGGGAGAGGTCAGACGGGTCAAGGAAGAGGCGCGCGGCACACAAGGACTGGGGTCACTGGCGCAGACACGAGAAACACACATCAATCCTATATTTAGGTGAACCCGAGCCCAAATATGTTTACTGACCATGGAAGAATAAGTAAACAGACGTTTAAGGGCACTAATCCCAACCTTGGAAAAAGACAACATTTATCTATATTTAACTATGTTTTGCAGGGCAAGCCCTGTATGTGAGGTTTATGGCCGATAGTTTACTACACGGTACACAGCGCTAGCTGCAGAGCCCTGGGATCATGCATCTTAATCCAGCTGACTAAAGCTTCACATCTGCTTCATTAGCATGTTATAGCTTAGTCCACACTTTTGTTGCATGCGTACAGGTTTCAAATGTAGAATCATAACATGACCACGCTGTTTTACCTATGTAAGAATGACTTCAACAGGTGTTTTGCGTTTAGGGAGGTATGAACGTAAAACCGGCGTGCAAATTGTGTAAATCAAAGATTCACACTTGATACATTCAAACAAATATTCATTATTAACACATTACTTCATACATTCTAACAAACATTCACTATTGATATATTCTAACAAAGATTCTCTCTTGATGCATTCTAACAAAGATTTCTTTGTTAGTGAGTGAGTTGTGTTTAACGCCGCTTTTAACAGTATTACATTTATATCGCGGCGTGTCAGCTTAATGTGGGAGGAAAGCCCGAAGTGATGCAAGTCCCAGACGTTTACCACTTCGGTAAAACCCACGAGCACGGGTATGGTGCTGACAAACCCAGAAACATAATCGGGGCGAGCCGGGATTCGAACCCACAATCATAGGTTTCTTGCATGCCAAAGGGACGTACAGATTCCTTCGTGATTCTTCAAACAAAACCGCCGTCATATAGCTGGAATATTGCTGAGTGCGGCGTTAAACAACAAACAAACCAAACAACATTTTAACAAATATTAATCCTTGATGACTCTAACACAGATTCATTCTTGTCATATTCTTACAAAAATTCATTCTTGACACAATCTAACAAAGATTAATCCCTGATTCATTCCACCAAAGATTCATTCGTAATACATTCTAACAAATATTAATTAATATTTATATATATATATATATAAATTATATATATATATATATATATATATATATATATATATATATATATATATATATATAGCGTGTATGTGTGAGTGTGTGTGTGTGTGAGTTAGTGAGTGTGTGAGTGAGTGAGCGAGCGTGCGTGCGTGCGTGCGTGCGTGCGTGTGTGTGTGTGTGTGTGTGTGTGTGTGTGCATATTCATCGATCGGATATTATCAACACTTGGCATGGGAACATACATTGATCATCGTCTGGGAAGGAGTGCTGAGAATTCCAAAATAAACCATGTTTGCATGAATCCCTCCTTTGTAACCAGACGAAACATATCGAAGAAACGTCACTTGTGTGTACTCGGCACCACCTAGCTACTAGACGTCTATCAGGCTTCCTCTTTCATGTCATGAACTGCCATGAATAAGTAATGGTAAGTTGCATCCATGTCTGCATTAAACTACATAAGCGTTTCTGAAAAAATAGACTGAATCTTGAAACGACACACCATTACTTGAGGCAGAAACCTTCACAGCAACAGACGGGGTCATTATGAATTATTTAACTAATCTGCAACGACTGTACTCGATTATATGCCTTAAGTAGAGTCTAACTGTTTATGGTGGTTCAATAGTTTTGGCCTACCAAACAGTGACCTGAATATATATCTGTAGATGTAAGTGTTTTCTACGTGGATGACATCTTTTTTTAGAATCTGGCACTAATACGCTTCAATAGTGTTGGCCTACTCAACAGTGACTTGAGTATATATCCGTAGATGTAATCATCATCTATGTGGATGACATATTTGTTTAGAATCTGGCACTAATACTCTTCAAAATTATTGGACTTCTAAACAGTGATTTGAGTATCATCTCCGTAGATGTAAGTATCATCTAGTGGGTGACATCTTTTGTTAGAATTTGGCACTAGTAGTAGTGGACTACTGTAACAAACAAACAAACAAAAACACCCAGAGAAACCAAGAAGATACTATCATCTAAGTATGTGACACTACTCACATTTCCGTAGAAGATACTTTCATCTAAGTATGTGACACTACTCACATTTCCGTAGAAGATACTTTCATCTAAGTATGTGACACTACTCACATTTCCGTAGAAGATACTTTCATCTAAGTATGTGACACTACTCACATTTCCGTAGAAGATACTTTCATCTAAGTATATGATATCGTAATTGCGAGTATGAATACCCAGACAGTGATATTGTTCGATTGTAGAAGATACTTTCTTCTACGTAGATAATAATACTATACGTAGATGAAAGTATCTGTTACGTAGATGTAAGTGATGACCTCTACGCAGATAAAAGTAGCATCTACGTATACGTATGCAGCGTCTACGTAGAAGATATATTTTAAAAGTCTGGCACTAATGCGTTTCCAAAGTATTTGGCTACTGTAACAACATAACAAACAAATGAAATATTTTGTTTGTTCGTTATTTGTTTAACGCCGCACTCAATAATCGAGTCTGGACCAGACAATCCAGTGATTGATATCATGAGCATCGATCTTAGCAATTGGGATACGATGACATGCATCAACCAAGTCACCGAGCCTGACCATCCGATCCCGTTAATCGCCTCTTACGACAACCATAGTCGCATGTTACAGCAAGCACGAGCTGCTGAAGACCTTTTCTTCATCCGGATCTTTACGGTTTTCAAATCAGTGAGGCGTGACAGTACAGTGTCTATCTTGCAGCATAGAAACCTGCACAACAGACAGAAAACCAGTCCGTGTGACATGACATTACAGCGCCATATATAGATATTTGCACAACAGGAAGTGTGATACCACAATATGTTCATCCTTCCGCTTGCTCTAACGCCATCAAAACAATGTGTGATTATAAATCGAAGCGACAAAGCCCGTTCCATAATCATGAGAAGTCTCTGATTTCATACATGTTATCTCTGACATATATCAACACATGGGATGCGATCGAGGACACCAATGCCTGACCCAGTGCCCATCAAAACGAAAGTTTACTTTGTCTGCGAACTTTAATCTACCTAAAATTGGTTTTAAGATACTATTGGAGGTGATTTTGTTGCGTGTGTCATGTCTTAGTATTAAAAGCTACGATGATCGATTAGTCTTCCAAGATTAAGTGCTAACATTGACATGGTCCCTCCATAGAATTCATGGCATTATTTCAAATAGAACTACAGTTTGATATTTCTTAGAAT